TATGGTCACCCTGTAAACTTTACTTAGACAGAAATTCCACAAGTTAATCAATGTATAATTGGAGAATATGAAGATATTGTTTTCATATTCTGATATGTTGATTGTTCAAAGGGATCGTGAAATGTTTTTCTTTTAGTATGTTCTTTCAGGGTTCATTTCATTACTTATCTTTCAAGGTAGCATTGGGGACTCTGACAGTCTTTTGAAGACTTAGAAAATGTGGGAACTTAAAGACATACAGCTGACCGTTGAACAGCTCAGTAGTTAGGGGCACTGACCCTCCATGCAGTGGAAAATCAGACTTGTAGTCAGCCCTTCACATCCACAGTTCCGCATCCACATTTCCACATCCTTGGGTTCAACAAATAGCAGATCATGTAGAACTATAGTATTTACTATTGAAAAAAAATCTGTGTTTAACTAGACACACACAGTTCAAACCTGTGTTGTTTAAGGGTCAACTGTTCATTGAGTCCCAGGTGTATTCCAATAGCTACTTTAGAATGAGTTGACATGGGCCAACTAGAGGCAGAGCTGTGGATCTGGCTATTATGGTTCAGATGTGCCATACTAAAGGCCTGGGTGGAGCTGGAAGATACACAGATAGAAAGGAGAATTATGCTTTCAATCAATGCGATAAATCTCCACTTAATCATGGTTCCTATATAAAATGTGAAAGAGAAAAGCATAATCTATGGTTTCCCGCTAAGAGATGCTTAGTTGATTATGGGCCAGTAAGAGAAAGGAAAAAATAAGGAAAAGCAAACACTCACATTTTGCCCATTGACACCTGGGCTGAGAAAGACAGTGAGAAAGGACAGGAGTGGAGGTGTAAGTCTGGGTGTCTTGCTGAATGAAGCAGATGGCGCAATGACAGCCTCAAAATGTGCCTCCCAGAGGAAGGATGAGGTACGCAGGATAGTCAAATCCTATTCGCTCTTCCCAAGGTATGGTTTTAAATTTCTAAAACAAAATCAACTGGCATCAAACCATAGATTATATCTTTTCTGTTACCAGAAAAAGAACCACTTATATTTTTAATTATACAACCAGCTTCTTGGCATATGACAGTTAAAAATATGGCATATTTAGGAAATACAAAAAAAATTAACAAGAAAATAAATAATCCAACAAATATTTTTAAAAACCTATTTGTGTAATTTAAGGGTGTATGTTTCCCAGCTCTTACTTATAAATAACTTTTTATATTGAAATCACCATTTGTTGATAATTTTATTTCCTCCTTTTTTCATGTAACATTGTATATATGTAGGAATTTTCTCTATCATCATCATTATTATCATTATGGTTCTACCATACTTTACTTTCCTGATCTCCTATTGTTGGAAATTTAAGGTTAATTTCAGATTTTTTCTATTATAAGTAGTCGCTTGATGAACATCTTGGTATAAAAATCTTTGTCCGTATTTTTAATTTATTAACCTAATATAGATGCCTAGAAGTATACTGGATGACACTTTTTTTTTTTTTTTTTTTTTTTTTGCGGTACGCCGGCCTCTCACTGTTGTGGCCTCTCCTGTTGCGGAGCACAGGCTCCGGACGTGCAGGCCCAGCGGCCATGGCTCACGGGCCCAGGCGCTCCGCGGCATGCGGGATCCTCCCAGACTGGGACACGAACCTGTGTCCCCTGCATCGGCAGGCGGACTCTCAACCACTGAGCCACCAGGGAAGCCCATGGATGACACATTTTAAGGCTGTTTATTTGTACCCGTTTTATCTTAGTTGTCTAATACATTGGCAGAGTTGTTCAAAATATTTCCTAATTACCTTCTTAATGTCTATAGATGTTCTAGTAATATTCCTCTTTCATTCGTCATATTGGCAATTTATATCTTCCCTCTTTTTTCTTAATTAATCTCAGTAGAGGTTTTTAAATTTTATTGATCTTAAAAAGAATAACAGTATGGGTTTCATTTTTTCAGTACTTTTCTGCTTTCTATTTAATTGATCTTTGCTCTTTATTATTTCCTTCCTTTTACTTAATGTAGGTTTAATTTGCTCTTTGTTTTCTAGTTTCTTAAGGTGGAAACTTGGATTATCAATTTGAGACGTTTCTTCTTTTGTAATATACACGTTTAATGTTATACATTTCCCTCCAAACTGTTTTAACTGAGTCTCACAAATTTTGATAAATTATGCTTTTCTTTTCATATAGTTAAAATATTTTCTCATTTTTCTTTTGATCTCTACCTTGACCCACCCATGAGCTATTTAGAAGTATGTTCTTTAATTTCTAAATTTGGGGGAATTTTTCAGATATCCTTCTGTTGTTGATTTCTTCTTTCACCCCATGTGGTTAGATGGCATCCTTTGTATAATTTCAGTCATCTTAAACTTATTGAGATTTGTTTTATCACCCAGCATGTAGTCTGTTTTGGAGAATATTGGATGTGCGCTTGAAAAATACTTGTAATCAGCTGTTTTGGGGTAGGGTATTCTATAAATGTCAATTAGGTCTAGCTGGCCAGTAGTGTTGTTCAAGTCTTCTTTATGTTTACTGGTTTTCTGCCTACTGTTTTATCAGTTACTGAGAGAGGAATGTTGAAATATCCAACTATAATTATGGTTTTGTCTATTTTTTCCTTATAGTTCTATCAGTTTTGCTTCATATATTTTTGGCACTGTGTTAATATGTACATACAATTTAGGACTGTTATCCCTTTCCCTTAAAATTGTTGACTTATTCAACCACTCACATTTCTTTTTTTTCATATATAGAAAATGAGGAAGTTTAATACAGTCGAACTTTGAACAACACAGGTTTGAACTGCATATGTCCACTTACATGCAGATTCTTTTTTCAATAGTAAATACTACAGTACTACACAATCCACAGTTGGTTGACTCCACAGTTGCAGAACCATGGATACAGAGGGCCAACTATAAGCTATACGTGGATTTTTGACTGCACAGAGGGTCGGTGCTCCTAACCCCTGCGTTGTTCAAGCGTCAACTGCATATCCTTTCCTTTCCAGGAATGCTACAATGAATGACTTCCAGTTTCTTATGAAATTCTCATAATTAGTGAAAACTATAAATCACTTGGTTAAAAACCACAGGGCCTTCATCCTAAATGAACCTAAACTCCCTTTTGGTACATGAAAACTGATGATCTTAAGTCATTTTAGGATTATGTCCATGCTTTTAGCTCAGAATAAATGTGTCTTTTACAGACGTGTGTGTGAGTTTGCATGTGTGTGTGCACCACACACACACACACAGACTTGTTCTTTTTTGGCCTTTCTTTTGCATTTGCATACATATATATGTGACAAAGAAATAAAATATAAACTTGGTACTTAGCGCAGAGAACGACAACTAATTCATCAGATAGTCATGCTACATGAGGCCTTACTGTTTTGAAGAATCTGTTTAGGCCACCTAACCAGCAGTTGTTTCATCTAGAACCTTTGCCACCATTCTTGATCCCTTCCTCTCCCTTGACCCCGCAGTCATCCTCAATCACAGTCTTTTAACTGGTATTCCCACTTCTACATTTGTGCTGTTTCAGTCTGTTTTCCACAAAGAGGCCAGAGTGATCTTTGAGAAATACAAATCAAAGCATGTCATTCCTCTCCTCAAAACCCTTGATTGCCTTCCGATTGTACTTAAGTAAGAAAAAACCCACATCCAAATCCCACCTCTGGATCTCATTGTAACCACTTCCCCAGGCTCAGTGTGCCTAAGCCATGGGCTTTCCTTCAGTTCTTCAAACACACCAAACTCTTTCTTACCTTCTTAGCACCTTCACACGAGCCTAGAGCACCACTCCCTGACCACCCTTCTGCTCCCCCTTACCTCCCACTTTTCCATCCTCCACCTATGAGTTTTCATCTGGCTAACCCATTGATTCATACTCAGCATTCAAATTATTGCCTTAAATATCACCTACCAGAGGAAACTTCTCTGGACCCCAAATCTAAATGTAGTTCTGCCTATTATTTCCCATTCTTCTTCTTATAGCTCTTATCATAGTTTTAAACTATATTGTGTTTTGTATAGTTTATTTAATGCCTTTCTCTCCTGCAATCCTGAAGATTTCATGATCATATACACCAGTGTTTTATTTGCCCTTTGACCAGCATATAGTAGGTGCCAAATAAACGATTGTTGAATGAATGAATGAGTGCAAGAAAGAAAAAATGAAGTGAAGTAAATAATTAGAAAACATTTAAGAGAAAAAAATTGCAATTTTTTATCAAGTAAATGTATCTTAAAGCACCTGTTTTTTAACCTATTTAATTAGTAAAATTTTTCAAAGATATAATTCCCTAATTCCATTTTTCAGCTAAGATTTGGGGAAAAGGACACATTCATACAGTCCATGAGGAGAGGGACCTTTCTGTATTCATTTTGGTTTATGTATTAAATATTTGTTGAATGAGTATTTGTATAATCATTATGGAAAGCAGTCTAGGTAAACGTATTTAAAAACATCAAATTGTTTTTATTGACCCCGTATTTCCACCCAAGAATTTGTCATAAGGAATAGACCTAAATATGGGAAAGGTTATATATTTAAAGGTATTTCTCATAGTGTTATTTATAGGAGTAAAACATTGGAAACCACCTAAATGCCCAGAAGAGTAATACCTGAGTAAAGCATGGTATATTCACTAGACAGTATATGAGTAACATAAAGCTAAAGGTTAATGACTTTTTAAATGTTTATATTATTAAATGTAAATAAATAACAGAGTTTTACAACAATATTTACAAATCTTATCCACAGGAAAAAAAAGACTGGAAAGAAATATGTTATGCTGTTATGGCTACAGATGATTTCCTTCTCTCTCGTTTTTTCATATTTTCTTTAACATCCACGCATTTTATTTTTTACAAGGATTATAATTATATTAAACTGTGGTGTAACATAGCTGGTATCTTGAGGTTCAATTTTATTTTCAGTACATTTAAGTGAATCCCAAGCCTTACATTTTTCAATGATTTGAACTAAAATGCTGTGCTCTCTTTTTTAGGATGACAGAAACTTTGCTGAAAGTTCCCACGCTCATGGGTTAGATCAGTCATCCTCTTGGCAGGATCACAGCTGCTTCCTGTCTAGTCCTCAATTTTCACACTTGCACTGTAAGTAATGATGTCCTGTACCAGCTTTTAAATTGGATTTAAGAAAATGCATCTCATGGAAAGATTAAAGCATAAGGCCAGTACATGATAGTAATATTCATCTTGTAAGTTTGAAAAAATGTTCATTATGAATCATACAAATAATACCCAAGTACATTTATAATATTACCTAACTTACTAAAAATATATGGAATCGCTTCTTTTTAGACCTTACACTTCTCATAAAAACTGAAAATGAATTACCCAAGGTAAAACTCTTAATTAAGCAACTTTTTTTTGGCCTGGAGATTGCTAGTAACTATGGATGAGTGGGTAAGGAAGTTAGATGGTATTGTAATAAAATTCAAGTCATCAGAAAGTAGAAAATCTCTGCATAGAACTGTTCAAAAATATCTAATTTTGTGCAAAGAATAAGGATATGAAAACTATTATCGTCCGATTTCATTCTGTGAATAATACAGTGTAAATATTGATAAAATGTCACACACATTGACAAAGTGTGAGTCTGTTGACCCAGGATACCATCTCCAACCACTTATGCTTCACCTTGGATGTAATGTCCTTAAAGAAGCCTTCAGGACTCACAGTTTTAAGTATGGTTTCTGTTATGTGTGCCCACAAAGCATTACAATTTTCCTTTAAAACCTTTCTCATACTAATTATGGAATTATTTGCTATTTGAGTGACATTTTGTTTACTGACTCTTCTCTTCACCGAAGAGTGAACTCCATGATGTTAGGAGTGATGTCTGTTTTATGCACCACTGTTTCCTCAGCATCCTATATAGAACTTGGCACATAGTAAAGGCTCAATTAATATGAGATGAATGAGTGTATGAGTTTTTTATCTCAAGTCCACTTTTATCCAATCCATTTGGGACTCAAATGTTAATAGATTCTTAGTTAGATAACCATTTAGCTCTTCAGTTTTCCATGGACATAGAGTTTGTACATTCAATTAGACAATGCTGTCATTTAAAAAAACTAGGCTGCTATAAAATAAAATATCAAAATTAGCCACAAGGAAGTAGGTCAAATCCAAAAATGATAACTCTCATTTTTGCTGATTTATATTCATAGATTCATCAAATAAATATTTACTGGTTTCTGATAAATGGTTTGGCTTCCATTATATCATAATTATTTTATTGCAAAAGCTAAGCATTTTCCCTTTCCTGTCCTAACCATTTTACCAAGTGATTCTATATATTTTCATAAACTCTCTGCTATTCTAATCTGGCAGTCACCCTTCAAATTGGATCATATCTCAGGTTTGGTTACTGTACCTCAGAATGTGATATACACATAGGACAAAATTTTTATTTTTCATATTAAGCAATGGAAAAATTTCCTCAGGTCTGTTTGATGTATGTAAGCATGGAAGAGGAGGAGGGTGGGGACAGAGCACCATCAAACATCATATCCCATCCATTAAGACATTTAAGAGCCTGGAAATAAACAGCGCCATGATATGAGCACAGAGGTCATTGTTCTACTGGTATTTAATTTTGCCATTATGACTTTCATAAGGCTCCCTAGAAAGGTACCTAGAAGAAAGTGGTTAGAAGACATTAAGGGGAAAACATGAAATTTTTTAGAATTTTATTTAATACTGTGACAGGCAATAAAAGAAACTGTATTCAGCTTTTCATTCAGTAACATTTCATGACTAGCCCTGGTCATTTCTCTAAGATATAGTACTTATAGGCTGCCATAGGTTTCTATATAAATACACTGGCTCAAAAAAAATAAAGTTAAATAAGAATAGGAAAAAATATCATTGAGAACATAATTTGGATAAGAAAATACTTATTATAGTCTATATTGTACAATCTGACTGAAAATTTAGCTTAGAAAGTAAACCTCTTTATTAATTTATTGATACATTATTTATTTATTTACACATAGTTTTACTGTTCTTTTTGACAAGTTTGTTTTATGAGTTTCCTCCCATACTTACCTCCATGTTTTTAAGGTTACTTTAAAAAGTTTAATCATAGGTACTATTGTTAATCATTTTAAGTGATTTACTAAACTTATTTCTAGAAATAATGTTTATTCTTATTTGCTTTTCTGATGAACCTTGAATTTTTTATATCTTTTTCATGATGTAGTATTTTTGGAAGCGAATTAGAATCATCCTGAATACTCCTCCATTTTTGTAGCACAATTTCAGCTTAGTTATAGAAACTGTCCTGTAATTTTTCTTGAAACTTCAAAATTAAAAAGGAGATCTGTCAAGATCAACAAAGAGAAAAATGGAGCCTACAGTAATTCGATAATACAGGGAATGGAAGATATCTTAAAAATATCATTAATGCCCTCAGAGAAACGAGAAAATAGTACATTTAGTAAAAATATGAGCAAGATGCTATAAAAAAGGAACACAGGATAAGAGGTCTCAGAAATTTAAAATATGAACTAGAAAGGTGGAAAACAAAGTTGAGAAACCTACAAAGTAGAAGATAAGGAAAAAGAAAGAATGGGACAATAGGAGAGAAAAGATAAGATATTCAGAAAATCAATACAAGGAGGACAGTACCTGATTAGTGAGAGTCCTGGGATGAGAGAACAAAGCAAACAGAACAAAGGCCAGAAGCGGGGCGGATAATGAGGGCTCACCCAACAAACAGCTGTTGCACATCTTTTGTGGGAGCACATCCAAGAAAGGGAGGTAAATATTTTCAGTTTTTGTATCTCTGAGAATGGGTTTCTTCCACTCACACTTGACTGAGACTTTGGCTGGCTATAAAATTCTAGGTTAAAAAGGACTTTTCTTCTGAAGTCATTGCACAATCATCTTCCAAAATCCAGTGTTGCTGTTGAAAAACCTTATGTCTTTTTGTTTTGACTCCCATTCCTTTGACGTGATCCTTTTCACCACCACTGCCCCACCCTCACCCCTGGCCCAGCAACTTTTAGGATTGTCCCTTTAACCCCAGTGAGTTTTGTGATGATATGCCTCCCTGTGGGTCTTGGTTTATTGAGTTTTCTAACTATTTGCTGGGGCAGGGTTGCGGGGGGAGCTTTTCATCTGGACACTCATATTCTTTAGTTATATCATAGTGAAGGAAGAAAGAAAAGATTCCCTCAGGAGAATCTTTAGGAAATAAACAAACTGATAGATTATTTGATTCATTTGAGTGCTTAGAAAAACTACTAATAGACATATGATTATTATAGGTATAACTGAGCTATTAGAAACAATTGAGAATGGTTATAAAGAGTAAATAAAAACAAACAAAAATTAATTTATTAATGAATTTTAATAAATAATCAATTAATAACTCCAGGAAAAAATGAGCAAGAAACATTGTCATAGTAGACCTATTAGGTTTGTGTGAGCCATATTTACATAGTCATAATAATGTAAATACTATTGACATAACTACAAGTCCAGATGTAACTATATAGGGAGGATGGGATGAGGGAAAGTGGATGGGTGTGGATAAGTCTAAAAATGATAAATCAGAAAATAGCAATATCAGCTTTTTCTTTCAAAAATTGAAGCAAGTACAGAAAATAAAGCTAAAAGGGTTGATTGTGGGCTTCCCTGGTGGCTCAGTGGTTGAGAGTCCGCCTGCCGATGCAGGGGACACGGGTTCGTGCCCCGGTCCGGGAAGATTCCCACATGCCGTGGTGCGGCTGGGCCCGTGAGCCATGGCCACTGAGCCTGCGCGTCCGGAGCCTGTGCTCCGCAATGCGAGAGGCCACAACAGTGAGAGGCCCACGTACCGAAAAAAATAAATAAAAAAAAAAAAAAATAAAGGGTTGATTGCGGTTGAGTCTGGGGAGAAGGAGTGTGGGGCTGGGAGGGATGGAGCAAGAGACTGCTGTCTTTCTATGTAGCCCTTTGGTGCTATTTGATATGTGTATGTATGTACGCTTTGGCTAAAAAGAAATCTTACAAAAATAAAACGCTACTGAGAAAACCCCAGCTTTTATGTCTGACTAGCGAGTACTGGATTTTCTTAACCTCTGAATGAAGCATGAAAGCTGGGTGTTGGAGTTCAGAGCAGTTGAGACCTGTATGGAGACCCGGGGAGTAACTGAGGTGCTGAGGCAGACACGAGTTTATGAGCCCACAGAACAGGCTCCTTCTTACTCAGGTTGGGATTGGTACTGGATGAGGCCCTTTTGTCTGTGCTGTTGACGCTAAGGCACTCATTCTGCTGACTTAGGTGCCCTGTCAAAACTGTGACCAAACGAAAGTGTAGAATCACTGACCATGGAAAAAACAAAGGAAATGGGAAAATACTGCATAATTTGTGGTCTCTGAAATGATCCAGCATTAATGAAAGTTTGTTTTAAGTAGTAATTTATGTCAGCTTTGTGTAGTTCAGGTCAATTCAAGAAAAGGTAGATTCCTCCTGCCAGGAAGAAGGGAAGAAATATATAAATTGTAAGTTTATATTACCATTGGAAATAGGAACACAGAAATCCATTATTTAGAGCCGTGATTACTACCAAATTTATCCTGGCTGGCTGGAAGCTATGGCCATGATTCAGGACACTCTTTTAGGAGGCTTGGATTCCATTACCTGCAGCCTGTAGACAGTGGGGGCTTAGTAAGAGAGACTCATAATGCCAGCTTTTGAAACTGTCATTTTTACTTTTTATAAGTAGTGACTGACCACTGGTCTCCATGTATAGCTCCTTTTAGGCTAAAGGAACACAACTCAGGACAGGGCCCTCACTCCTGGGGCCCGGACCAGACTGGGTTTGAATGAAGTCTGGAGTAAACTGATGACTCCTCGAAATCTCGAGTTCTTTGAGATTCAAATGCTAAATGTTTGTGGAGTTGGTATCTATAAACTCAATTTTTAAAATAAATGCAGATTGCAATTTTTCCATAATTCTAACATTGTGGTAAATAATGTTTATTTAAATAAATAAATAATCCCAAAAAGAAAGGACAGTGATTTTTCATGGGGGGGGAAATGTTATCTGCAGACTACTTCAGGAGCTGGAAGTGAATCTTACACATTAATTTAACTTGATATTCTTAGAAAAGCAAATCAATGAAAGTTACTAACAAGTACTTTTTTTTACTTCCTTACTTCAGAATATGTCGCTATAAAAAGAAAAGTTAGTATTCTTAATTTGTTTTCTGACGTTCCTTTAATGGAGGTTTAAGTCCCTCAGATGGGACTTGATCACAGCGAGAACAGCAATACTCTTCACTTCTGTGTTGTACTTCAGGATCCCCCTGGCTAACTGAATGGATGCTTCATGTGTAGTCTGTCCTCAAACTTGTAAACTAAAGTGCCAAAGATTTACAGCAATAAAAATGTTGGGGTACTGCTGATGTAAAATATTATTTCTTGTCCTTTATAGGATTTATTTATTTCATGAAAGCACAATCTTTCTACCTCTCCATCTTATAGGTTCATTGTATGTGATAGTGCTTTTTTATTTATTTTTTGGTGATTATCTTTTCACTGACCAGTTAGGTGCCAGATATTTTTAAATAACTGAGTTCTGATTATTGCGATTTGACAAGGTATGTACTCTATAAATGCTTTCTAGAAAGCAGCTAGAAAATCCCCAGTTGACTATCATTTTGAAATCCCTTAAAATATATTCACGCGTTCAAACAACATTTACTAAGAGACTATGCACGAGGCTCTGTGTTTGGCTCTGGGGGAATACAGTAGTGACTAAGACAGAAAAGGTCACCTCATCTCATGGAAGAAACAGGTAGTAAGCAATAAACAAGCAAAATGGTGACTGGTGCTATAAAGGTGAAATCATAGAAGGTACCAGGGCCAGAACTATATATTAGTGATCAGAAGGTTACAATTGACCTGAAACTTGAATGGCAAGAAGAACCAGCTGAGTTAAAATTGGGTGGGAAGAGTTTTCCTGATAGAGGGAGCAGTAAGTGCAGAGGCCCCAGAGAAGAAAGGGGTATGGTCTTCTAGAGAGATGGAACACTGAAGGAGTGAGAGAGGGAGGGAGGGAGGGAGGGAGAGAAGGAGGGAGAGTGAGAATGAGTGAGGGAGAGAGTGATTGGGAGAGACAGTGGTGGGAGCTGAGGCCCTGGTGGAGCCTTTTCAGCCACCATCAGGTGTTTGGATTTTATTCTAATTTTGCTGGGAGGCTGGGGGGCGCGGGGGGAGGGAAGGGTTAATGCAGTAGAGTGACATAATCGGATTTACCTTTTAGAAAGATCATTCTGGTGTGTGGAGAAGGAGGCAAGATGAAAACAGAAAGAGAGGAAATGGTGGCTTGGGCTGGGCTGATGGTAACAGAGGTGGTGTGAAGCAGAAGGAATCAGGTGAAATGGGCGGTAGAATCCTCAGAACTTACTCTTAAATTGGATGGGTCGAGCAGGCCGGCCAAAGGAAAGAAGGAACCAGGGTTTGAGAAACTGGGTGGATGAGTGTATCATTTTCTAAGATGAAGAGAGCGAGCGATGGGCAGACATCAGAGATTATAAATCAGGTGGGAGTGTTTGACATAGACATTTGGATATAGGCATCTGGAGCTCAGAAGAGAGGGAAGAGGTAGTAGAAAAACAGTAAACCTACATTCCAGATCTAGTCTGTTTCCTTCTGTGTAAAAAAGAGGATTCTATGAAAAGGAGGCCCTTAAGATTTCACCCTCTAAAATTCTGATTTAGCAGAATTAATGCTATTAATTAGCATATTAATGCTTTAATATCACTATATACTGAACAAACACACATCTTCCACCCTCACTCTTCAAATCTAAAACAAAATTAAATCCCATGAATATGTGTTTTTAAAAACATAGTAAACTATTTTATTCCTACATTGAAGATTTGTTAGTCCATGTAAAGTTTACAGAAAACTCGATCAAATGCAGTGATTACTTACAGTTTTGTCAGCCCAGGGATTCTATTCATCTAGGTTTATTTTTCTCTTTTCTCCTACCTTGCCAGCATTTATCCAAAGAACAGTTGCTCCAGATTCACCTTCAATCAAGGAAGATGCCACAAGTTTACTGATGGATGGAACAAGTCCACAGTCCAAAAAGGAGGAATACGAAAGCAAAAACAGCAAAATGTAATTAGTTGCTTTACATGAGTGTTTTATAAATAATAGCATATGTATCCTTGCCACAGTTTGGCCCAGATTATCTAGCAGACTATCTGTAGCTTCTGCTCTTCAGCATTGCCAACCATTGACTGAAATAACAGTGCAGTTGGTCTTTGTGGATGATATAAGTTAAACCAATCCAAATGATATCAGCTCGTGAATGACATGCAACTAACTTATTGGCAACTTATACCAGCAGAGAAAGAATAATATTTTTCACCTTGCATTTTCCTTTTTCAGGTGTCGTCAGTCACATTTTTCTGACCAAAATTTGGATTTATAATTGAGGTGTTTCAAAAATGACTGGCTAAAAAGGAGGAAAATGAGTACCCCTTGAGGCAGAAGTTGCCAGCACTTTAAATTCAGGGAGTGTTTATATACAATTGATTTTATTTTGATGCTTTCTCCCTCATAAGTTATCATGTGTTATAACATGTCATGGAGATATGCATATATAATATTAGGCAGTCCGCTTTACAAATGTTCAGGATTGTTACATCCATCATCTCAGCAGTCTGCTACTACGTGCAGTATCTTAAAATTTTTTTCCAATCATCCATTTTTTATAGCAATAAAGAATTTACAAATGATATTTGAATTGTAGAGCTCTAAAGAATTCATTCGTAGCACAATTTATTTATTTGTCTCTTTGTGGCCAAATATCCCACTGTGACCACTCCAGTCATATCCTGGACCATCTTTGGTTTACTCTGACCAAAATCACAGCACCAAACTCCTGTGTCCATGACATCTACTTGCCAAGAGTTCTAGTATAATTTGGTACTATCTATCTGCTTTCAGCATCTTAGCCTTTCTCGACATCAAAGTGTTTTTAAGAACCTATCCCCTTTACATGCTGATCTACCAGTGGAGAAAGATTTCTATTAAATGCTAAATAAGAAAAAACATCCAGGAACTAAATCCCACTGAGTCATAATGGAAAGATTCTGAACAGAGACAAGGACAATAAAGAGATATCTTTGGAATGTGCATTACATTTTGTGTTTGTTAACATCTACTCACTTTTTAGATTTCTCATATTTCATGAAGATGCTTCTTTTTCTACTCAAGATACGTTTTCCTAACTTACCACATTTGAATGTGCAGAAGAAATGGCATTCTCCGTGAACTGGAACTCAATGGTCACTACGGAAGACAGAGATATTTTATTTCAAAATTTACCAGTACAATCTACATAACCTCTGATAGTACAGCCTTGCATTTTCTCATTTATTCATTCCAAAAACCTTTTACTGAGTTATTACCAGTAAACCAGTAAACACCAGTCATGGTGTTAAGAAGGAAAAAAGAGACATAAGTACAGGTGTGTATGTCCCAAAGTTTGTTTGGCACTAGGAATTACGTGAGAAAGGAGTGATGTGTTCAGGCTGGCTGGAGAAATTCTGGAGTAGACACCACTAAGCAGGTTTGATTTGTTTGTATCTAACCTTGAGACTTGGAGCCATTGATGTGCTAATGAGCACCAGAGGTTCTAGTGGGGGTGGTATCACTCTATGGTAATATCTGGGGTATTGAAAAATTATGTCAGTATTTTTTCCTTGATGTTTTGACCAGTACCATAATATTGATATTTTATCTCCTTGGATCTAAATGACTAACTGGGAAGGAAATAAGGGAGAAAATTAACAGGTTTTATTTAAATCCTACAGATAATGGTTAGATAGCCTTTCACTTAATGTGTTGGGAAGAACTTCATGTGGTCCATTCTTTTTAATAGAAACTGATCTAAAGCATTATTAGCACATCTGTGGTCATTAAAAAAAAAAAATTACATCAGGCCAGTTAGGCCTGAAAAGTGAAGGTAATTCAGATTGTGTACTTGGCAAATCCTTGAAAACATGTTAGCTGATGATTTTATAACAGAGAGGGATCTTATGAAAGACTGTTTTTAATCTAAAAAAAAATAAAGCATGATATCATATTATTGAAGGCCGCATACTATGGTTGGATGAATAAAGGTGTCTGACTTTAAGTATGGAACGCACAAGAACTTCAAAGGCAAAGTTAGCTTTTTGTGAGCAACAATTTTGTCAAAATTCCTTGGCCCTCTGTTTATATGGAATTAAATCCAAGGACCTGCCTCCTCTGAGGATTTTTCCTATCTCTTGCAGTCACCATAAGCTTGAGTGGGAAATTAAAAGGAATGCTAAAGAAACACTAATAGCTTGATTTGTACATTTCAAAGCCAGCAACTGTTTTTCCTTTACTCACCCCTTTGGCAAGATAATGTGTGATATCAGCCCCATTGAGTGGTTGGTCAGCCATATTGCTTGTAGCTCTAGGACATTGGAAGGGATAAACCTTATTCTTGAAATGATCATGGTCCAAGACTTAATTTGAAGATTGACCTTTTTGGTTTAATAATTTTGATTCTTCTGGCCACCTTTCTCCCTAAACATACTAAACTTCCATTGAAGTTACTGAAGGCCACAGAGGGGAGAAACACAGCTGGGAGGAATCTGGCTTGATGTTTTTCCCATTGGCTAAGGTCATTATTATTTCCTTGACTAATGTCTGATTTGAAGGCTGGAAACCAGTTGGTTATATAACATCTTATGCCGTTTCCCAGAATCACGAATTTTCCTTCTTGTTATAGTTTACATATTTTTACCAATAAAGAGATGAAATCTATAGCTTAACATAATAGTGCACATAAGGCATTTGGATTTAAAGGTTATGTGGATAAAAAATGCCTACCTACTTAGCTAAGAAAACAATTAAGCCTATTTTTCTTCATTCTCCTCCTTTCAACTGTGGTAAATGCATGAGGCTCAAGTCAGAGGTATGTAAAGCATACTTAGAATCACAGTGTTTATTACATTTTCTCTAATCTGTATTGAATCTTACAGTTAAAAAATAATTGTTTTATTTGGGACTAAATTCTTACATATAATTAGGTGGTATATTTACTTAGCAAACCCTATTTTAGGAAAGGGTAAATATCTCAAATTGTTTTACTCAGTATTTGTACCATAAGCCCAGCTACACATCATATGGTGGCCAACGATGTGAATTATCATTGAGGAAGTTATTCCTTTTCCAAGATTCTTATACCCCTCTTCAAACAAACTGTCCCAGTATTTTCTCTCAATTTAAAACAAAACAGAAAATTTGTGATTTTCATGGCCTTCAAATGAGGAAGCTGTCCTCATGAAAGCATCTGGTTTTCTTGGATCAAAACTAAACCATGGGGCATCCCTGGTGGCGCAGTGGTTGAGAGTCCGCCTGCTGATGCAGGGGACACGAGTTCGTGCACCGGTCCGGGAAGATCCCACATGCCGCAGAGCGGCTGGGCCCGGGAGCCATGGCCGGTAGCCTGCGCGTCCGGAGCCTGTGCTCCGCAATGGGAGAGGCCACAACAGTGAGAGGTCTGCGTACCGCAAAAAAAAAAAAACTAAACCATGAACCTTAAGCTGGAAAGTAAATTTGGGAAAGTTTGTATGTAAAGGCATTTCATGCTCTGAAGTATGATATAAAAATAGTTACATCTTTCAACTTTTAAGTTCTCAGATGTTTAGCAGTAAAAACGTATCAGCTTATCCCTATTTGAAAAAAGAAATTTAAACCATGAAAGATTCCGTCTAGTTTCATTTCCGTACAAAACACGACACATCTAGGTTAAGGCTAGGAGAAATGCTTACATCTAGAAGCAGAATTTTAGATTCCAAGCCCCCAAACAAACTTCAGAGAAGTCTCCCTTGCTTTCGATTAATAACAAAGTAAACGAATCTGCTGTAAAACCAGCTGAACCTTTAAGTTTTAACCTCATCTGTCCCCATCTTAGCCTCTCCTGCTCTATCCTGTGCCCACATCCTACCCAAATCCAAACCCAACCCAAGTCACTCTGAGTGTTTTACCAAGTCAGCCCTTACTGTTGACCTCTGGTGTCTGATACCTCAAAAACCTACAATGAAGCGGCTGGCTGACTGGGGTTTTGTAGCACCTTCATGTCTTTCAGAGCCAGCCAATTAAGAAAGGGATTTGAATGTCACGTGTCCTTGACTACTCTCGTGGTTGAAAGCCCAGGAATACTTCTGTGGCTAGGTATCTTTTCTTCCATAACACAGCTTGACTCTGACGTGGTCCAAAGCCATGAGACAGCTGTGGATGTGAACTTCCCACCTTGCTCTCTGCAGGAGTATATTGGATTTCTAAACGTAGCAGCATGTTAGATCCCTTTCAGGAGAATAGTTAAAGCAACATATAATCTGATGACCTCCACCTTTCAAAATGTAAAACCTTATGCTTTTGAGCATATAGGTGGGAATCTGGGGGAAAAAATGCTGCTGTAGTCAAAATACAGCCATACATTTATCACCTGTAATTCTAACAATAACTTGCTATGTTTTAAGGCATTGACATTGCATACTTGCCATTCCCTGGAATGAATGCTCTGTTTTTCTCAAACTGGCAGATGCTGGACGTTCATGCCCAGACTGTCTTCTATCCCCTCTCCATAGAGCCTCACGACTTGACACCCTCTCATTTTTTATTCTTTGGTAAGGCATTTTGACCGGCATTATTTACATAAAAACAAAAATTACTATTTATCCTTAAATACAGGAGCTCTGTGTCATCTTAGCTGTATACTCGACTGGAAATAGAAGATCAGAATACTAGCTTGAAGCAGTATTTTTTTAAACAAGAGTAGTGGATATTAAACTACCAACAGTTCAGATGTTATAAATTAAGAGAAAATATCTTATTCTGAGGGAAAGTAGGATAATATTATATGTTCATTTGTCACTAATTGACAGTCTCCTTTAAATCCTGACTTAATGTTTTCTTAAAATCATACCTTTATTTTTTAAGTGTTACGAATCCTCCAGAGCCAGTCCCCAGCCAGGGTCCTTCTGCCCAGTGTTGATCAAGCCAATAGAACAAGACCAAGTTTGGTTCAGAAGCAAAGACAAGCTTTACTCTTTAATCAGAGAATGGAGAGGCGAGAGCTCTAGAGCACGCGATCTGCCGATTGGCCGTGGGCCGGACCGCTTTATAGGGACCTTGGCAGAGGGGCGGGAGGCGGAGTTGTTGCAAGGCAGGTGCAGCTGCGCTGCTCAGGCCCCAGATCACAGTGCCGGGCGCAGAGTCTCTGCGCACGGCCCGCATCCGCCATCTTGAATCGCAGAGTCGTGAGCAGCCCTTTTCCACACAGTCCGCCGAGCTGAGGTGTCGGGGCAGGCATTTCTCACGGGGAGCTCTGGTCTGAAACGCCGGATCGGAGGCCTCTGCGAGCGGCACCCTGTGGGCCAGTGGAACTAGACTAAGCACCACGCGGAAAAAAGGTTAGACTTTATTACCCGGATTCTATTTTTATTTCCTGGGGATTGTTTATGGGCTTTTCGTGTGACAACAGGACACGTCTAATGTTTTAAGTATCAGGTTTTCCATCAAATTAGTTTCCTTTTGTTTTTCCTTACAAATGTTTCAATTTAGAGTCAGGTGGATTTCTGAATCATTTGAAGCCACGGAGAGTTCAACTGGCTTTTAAAAGAAAAAAACTTGGCCAGTAGTGTGAAAATTTGTACTTCATTATAGTGCACCTCTCTATTCTTTTTTTTTTTTTACTAAAAAAATCAGTTTTATTCACAGGGTCCCATAAAAAGTTATCAAACTTTAAAGAAAGGCTAAATCCACGTTATATTCTTTGACACATGAGGCAGCCTCTCTTTGTTCTTGACATGCTATATTTCAATTGGAAATACTTTTCCCTCCCACTGTCTCGCATTTCTTTCCCCGGGATCCATAGTCATTTCCTCAAGGACCTTTGGAAGGACCTTTATGTCCTTGACTTGGGCAAGCCTGTGGACTGGAGTCATGCTCGCTTGTCCTGTGTATGCCTTTCAAGACATCAGGATAATGGCACCATAAAGAGCTAGTGAGATTAACACATGAAACGCTTAAGTTTTTTTCTAATGATGTGGGCTGGTCTGTTAACCAGGTACGAAAGGCTTCTGTTGGTAAAACAAGATTGTTTCTCTTCATCCTTGTGTGATGATGCGCAGCTATATTTTAAAGAAGTATTTATATGTATTTCATATATGATAACCTATTTCTATCACTTTTTTTTACCTGAAAGCCAAAAGAGCAATTCCCAAACTGTGTGTCATGTTGCACATAGGATTTAAAATCTAAACGTCTAGTATATCCCCTTTACAAGACATTTTTTTCCTTTTCAGCTCTTGAAGCCAGCTATTATCAGATCATACTGCGTAACTCTCATTCAGTGGTATCCCTAGGGTAGTGGTAATGCTAGTTTAGATTTTGTTGGCCCGTTATTGCTGAGCACTTGGTGGAATAAGGGAATGAAGAATGGCAGGCGTCCTGTAAAAGGATATGAACACGGAAGCTGTGTTGTCATCAACAACATACATTTTAAACTGTTTACTTGAAAGAAAAAGCTGCGGGAGCGCTCCATTCTTTATCTGACGCAGGGTCCTGGAAAGCAGCATTGTGAGAAGTCCCGTTGAACTTGATGTGCGCTATGAAGTCCTATTTCTGATGAAAGTTACACTGTTGCTTAATGCTCTTTATGGACTGCTGGCTGGCAGTTTGGATCAGGTGCAAAGTGGCCTTATTTCAGATAATTTTCGGTCTCAGTGCCCTGTGCTTGTCTGTCATTTTGGATTTTCATTTTATTTATGCTGTCAGTAAGCCCACCATGAGTGAAGATATAGGTGTGATTTATGCCTTAGCATCACCCTGAACCTCGAGCTGCCAGTTACCACAAGTCAAGCAGCCATGGCAGCAAAGCCACCATCTAACTTGGTGGCTTTGGGGAGGTCAGATAGTTAAAAGAAGTTTGGAGAAGCCTAGAGGCTCTTGCCTCTTTTTCTTCTTTTCCCTCCGAGCTGAGTAAAAGAGAAGCATCAGTTCTAACGAGGAACTTCCTGCCCAGAGTCACTGGCAGAGCAGCCTCCT